CTTACTATACGGATTAGAATTTTCAATTAAGATACGATGTTTTTTAAGCGTTTTTAATTATAGTAAAAAAATTAAATATGGTATATTTTGAGAATTTTTAATTATAAAAATTTTAATCGGTGAAGTAAATGAGATATTAATTTAATTTTTATGAGGCTAATCAATTTGGGCCGTTATTTTTATTTTATGTTTGGTAAGATGGATAGAAAAGAGGAAGAAAAAAGAAGTAAAATACTTAGGTAAACAAAATAAAATGATTTTCTCTTATGTTATTTTGTATAATAGAAAGAAAAGGGAAAAAAATGTCAAATTTAAGGCATTTTATAATAATAGCCCAATACAAATAAAAATATGATGAATGGTGAAGATTAAAATTGTTATTTTACATCTTATTTTTTTGTCAAACATTTTTCTTCATCTTTTCTTTTTAAAGTTAGAAGGATTAAAAATTAATGGGCCCCATAAATTTTTATTTTCTTTCATTCCTCATTTCTTCTCTACCAAACAACTTAAAATTTCATTTTCTCTATAAAATCATTCATCTATTTTTTTTCCTCTCTCTTTTCTACCCTACCAAACACACTGTTAATCCAAGAGTCTTTACAATTTTACTCTACCACCGGGGAGAAAAAGAGCCCCTTACCACATAATTGCCCTTATTTTCGTTTATTGTTTTTCGTTGTTGGTAATTAACTTAGGCTTAGCCAACATTTTCCCTTACAGTCAGCTTTAGGAATCAAACTCAATGGGAGTATACTCACGATCACCTGATCAATGTCAATGAGCAGGAAGAGCTTCTTGTTCTTAGCTACAATAAGCAACCACAAGAACATAAGCCTAATAAAGGAACTACAAGTTCCACCAACCACAAGATCACTGGAGACTCTCCAAACTAGCTAGTGATCTTAGTAGACGTTTGGTTCCTGTATTCAGAATTATGATTCATAACTATTTTCAATTTACGTGTATTTTTTGTGAGAGAAAACACTGTAGCGAGCTACGAAACATGATCCGAACCATGACACAAATCCACCATAAAACAGTACTCCAAATCTTGAAACTCAAGGCCCCTTTCAATTTAGGTTACGTTTGGTATGAGGGGTCTAGAACCGGAACCCTGATTCTGATTCAAACCTTTGTTTGTTTGCAAAAAGTAAAAAATAGTTCTTGAATATCAGTGTTTGATTTGGATGATTCTGGTTCAAGATTTAAATTCAGATGTGATGTTTTAAACTAGAACCACCGTAAAAAATAAAACCACATCTCCCTTGATTATAGATGGTTCAAACCTCTGGTTCTGATTCTAGTTCCAGAACTATGGTTTGGACTCAAAGTTCAAACTATAAATTATAATTCTAGTTCTAAAACTAAAATCACATTGATTTAAACCATCATACCAAACACAACCTTAGTCATCAATCGGTTCCATCGAGCCAAAATTGTTTTTCTTTTTGGAATAACCGGGACTTCCCCCATTAATAAAAGTTTGAGGTGAGGGATTGAAGCTCATTGATCAAGGTTGACGGAATTCGAGAAACTCCTAATAACGTGTATGTTGGCATTGCTTGTACGACTTATAATAAGAACGTGCTTAGTTAGTTGTAGATAATAATTCGGTTAACCATAACTGTAGTAGTTTTTTTTTTTTTTTTTTCCCTAGCTTGAAAAGCTCTTCGTTTATTCCTCCCAATAAATGCCGGTAGCCCTGGTAGCAGTTAAAGATAACTCGATTTCATGGCGTTTTAAAACTCATATCAATAAAATGTGCAACAATGGAACGAACTGATAGAGTACGAGTACTAGAGATGTATGCATGTTGAAAGTCCACATAATGTGTACAATCAACGTCTAATCAAGTAATATAAATAAAAAAATTATTACCTTGTTCAATTCGCGGATTTGAATTTTAATTCGAATTGAGATGTGATTTTATATGAAAATTTTTTTTAGTAACAGAAAAAGTTAAACGTGACTTTTTATGAGAGTTTTTAACCGTACCAAAATTATAATTAAAAACTCGAATTGATAAAATGAATAAGACTTATATATATTTAGAACAAAAAAAGAATAAAAAATCACAGATAGATGTACTGGTGGCGGCGACGTGGTGGATGGAAGGCCGACACCGATAAGAAGAGCAGACGTCGTGGGATTTGGGGCTTGGAAGGGATCGGTAAGAGGTTAGGAAAATTTTATCGTGGCATTCACCACAGATTGCTTAAGAAAATCTCTTAACAATGGTTTCCAGATTAAAGGTAACTAGTTATTTTGAAATATTATCACTAGTATAAATGTTGGAGACTAATTTCTTAAAGGATATAATGTAATGTTACTTGAAATTTACCTTAACATAGCACATGCAAATGCAATAATGCATCACATGCTATATATGGCCTATGAAAGCAGTGTTTGGAACTGCGTGAGTTATGCACCTGTTGACACCTAAACCATGTGATAGACATAAATTAGATTCAATGGATCTTGCCCAAATTTCTTTTTTTATTTTTATTTTTTTATGTCCTCCCTAATACGGTATACAAGTCCTTTATTGATCTTGATGGTTTAATCGCTTTCTCTCTCAGTTTCCCCTTTATTAGAAGGATAACTACGTGGAACTTTTTTTTGGCCTTATCTCTTTTTAAAAAAATATTAATGTTTTATGTTTATCAACGTCGAATTTATATTAAATTTAATTAATAATTAAATTAAATTAAAAAAATAAGAATACTGGAGAAATTTCTTAATTATATACCTAAGTAATAATTACTATTTTTTATAAGATAATAGCCGATACTAACTTAACATTAAAATAATTAAGAACTGTGAGAGTTTTGGAAAATTATTTAGCATAGGAAAACACACATGACACATGTATCGAGTTTTTGTTTTATCAAAATGTAAAACAAAATATATCATATGCTTACGATAGTTTTTTTTTTTTTTTGTGTGCCAGATAGTTTTGTATTGTAAAATACTCAGTAATAGATATATAATTTCAGCAGTAATAGATATATAATCCTTTTGGGATTTAAGTTTTTGTTGGTACACTTTAAAGTTTAAAAGAGTGAGAAATATGCCATTTTTATGAGTAGTAAATCTAAGCAATTTCTCGTTAATTACGTAACCAGCTTAGAAGAAAGCAAACTACTGAAGATAAAATAAGAGTCTGTTTAGTTTTTTGATTATACTTTTTAATTTAAGTTGATATGTGATTTTATGTGAAAATTTTTTATTATAATAAAAAATTAGACGTGACTATTTTTAAGAATTTTTTATTATAATAAAATTTAAATTCTAAACTCAAATCGGTGAAATTAACTGAACATAAAAATATGTATTGCTTGCAATTAAAAAAACAAAAAGTAGGCCGCAAAAAAAAAAAAAAAAAAAAGTAAAAAGTAGGCATTTGCTTAATACAAAAGACTCCAAACATTGCCTAATAAGTGAAAGTTCTTCCAAATTAGAAAATACGTGTAATGCTTGTGAAGTATTCATCATTCCTGACTCTGAGTATAATAAGACAAAATCAATAAAAGAAAACAGAAAAAAAAACTCTAATTAATAAGACATAGATCAAAATACTGAAGGATGAGACTGACCGTTCATTTCACTGATTTGAGTTTAGAATTTGAGTTTTGTTACAGTAAAAAGCTCTTAGAATCAGTCACATCTAACTTTTTTACTACAGTAAAAAACTGTCACATAAAATTACATCTCAATTCAAATTAAAAACTCGAATCAACGAACTTAACGGGTCATTTTATATAAATGGTCATTTTCCTCATGTGTTTTAGAGCCCGTTTGGTTCATGGATTAGAACTATGAGATTAGAATCATTTTTAATTTACGTGTATTTTTTGTGATAAAAAATACTATAATAAACTATAAATCATGATTCGAATCAGAGAACGAATTCTCTAACAAAACGGGTTCAGTAAGCATTTCATTATCTTCAACAACCATTATTGTTTTTTGTGATCACTACCTAAGTTGTTGTCACCATTAATAATTCTTCGTCCATGATAATGTCCCAAAAGTACAATAAATACCCACAAACTTTTTAGTTCACCTAAAATTGCAGGGAAAATGATTCAATAACTATAATTGCTAGCCCCACTAAAATAATATCACTCATTTTCTTCCCCTTAGCTAAAACAATAATAAAAGTTCTTTATAGACAGATCTCTATTAGGATTTATAAATTTTGTAATTTTTTCATTCAAATGGGATTTTGATCAACTTAGAGGTTAAGGGTCCATATTATTTCATATGTTTAAACTTAAATCATTTATTTTGCTGCAATGTTTTTTCTCTAATAAAATATTTAAATATTAAACGTCAAAATTAATAATTATGATTTAAGTATACTTTTTAAACGGGCAAAAAATAATGGTCCGTTTAGTTCGCTTATTTGAGTTTTTAATTTGAGTTGAGATGTGACTGTTTCTGAGAGTTTTTTACTAACAAAACTTGAATTGTAAACTTAAATTGGTGAAATGAACGGGACAAATGTTACCTTTGTGTCTTAAAAAAGTAATGTCACCCTAAGTGATATATTGCCATAAAAAGTTCCATAACAATAATAATTTTTTCTTGATAAATAGAAAAATAATCACTTTACTCAACCAAACTATGCCTAAACTTTTAATCAGCTCTATCCTTTAGTTGGCATCTGGCGCCATTTAATCAGCTCCCATACACAGTGGATCAGAATCCTTTTAAACCCAACAGAAGCTGCAGAATCTTCCAAATCGCCACCCACCCAATGAAACTTCAACACGTCAACTTACAAAGTCAACTAATAGAAAAGTCAATCAAAATCACCGTACTAATTGCACGGAGAAGCAAATTTCTCTAGAATCGAGCGCACTGGATCGTCAAACCCAAGTCCAAACAAGTCCGTTTGAAGATTTTTTTGCTCTTTTTCAAAAAGGGAAAGCGGAATTGAGAATTCAATTTTTAAAATTAAGCACCGCTCAGATCTGTCTGAGAGAGATCAGAGACGCAAACACAGTACAGAGAGAGAGAAACAAAAAAAAAAAAAAAAAGGGAAGAAAATCCATTTCACTCTGTTCCTTTCCCTTTCTCTCTCTTCTTTCTCTCTCCTCCTCTCCGCGTCTCTTTCTGAGCTTGATTGAAGAAGATAAGTTCTATCTCTCTCTCTCTCTATCGACAATGCCAGCGAGCGAGACAGAATTCGATCTCAGAGTAAACATTTCTACAAAAGATTTCCTTGTTTTGGTTTTTTCTCTTGATTTTTTGCCCTAATTTTCTCTGTTTCTGCTTCTTCTCAGCCTTCTTCTCAGTCGGCCTTCGGAATGGGGTAAGTTCTCTCCTGTTTTCCTCCATTTTCTTCGTTTTTAGCTCTGTTTGGGCCAAAACTGTGTTCATTCATGCTTGTGCTTGGAAATGTGGGGTTTTGAACTTTTGATCGCTAGGGTTCTTGAACTTTTGAACCAGTTTTTGAGGTATTGTGTGTAATGTAGTGTAATATCTGGGATTTGTTTTTGATTATTGTGTTTTCAGAGAGTACGCATTTGCCGATGTCGGAAACTTGGAGCACTGCGTCAAGTATTTGAATCAGACGCTTGTCACGTTTGGTTTTCAGGCTTCGCTCGATCTCTTTGGGAGTGATCCAGTACGTTCTGGTTGATTCTAGGTTTCCTATTTGATTGATTTTAGTTTTTTATATTGTTTTCTCTCGAGAATTATTGTTTTGATAGAAATGTGTATTCATTTTTCTTTTTTAGGTCTCAATCGCCCGTACTTGCAATTGTATATATGCGTTAATTCAGCAGAGACAGCGTGACGTTGAATTCCGGGAATCCGCTAATGAACAGAGACAACGGTAATTCTGAAGATTCCTTTCCTTTCCTTTTTTTTGTTTTTTTGTTTTATATAAATTTCATTTTGGATAATTCAGCAAATGATATTATGCATCTGAGTTAATGCTAAATGTTACTACCTTTATGTTTCTATACCTGTATTGGAATAACACCTTTTTAAAATTTTTTTTTTTTAAAGTTATTCCTTAAACAAATTGTTATTTTTCATGCCTAGGTTGCTGTCGGACATTACAAGATTAGAGGCTAAAGTTGAGAGGCTTGAAGGGCAATTACAAGCTAAAGATAGGGAGATAGCCACTATGACCAGAACGGTTAGGAACTTTAATTTTCCGAAAGAGGAATTCATATTATTTTGTTGTTTTGTTGATCAATTTGGATTCTGCATTAGGAAGCCAAAGCTACAGCAGCCTTTAAGGCCCAAATTGAAAAGCTGCAGCAGGAGAGAGATGAGTTTCAAAGAATGGTCATTGGTAATCAGGTTAGGAGATTTGGGTTTATTTTTTCTTGCTGCATTCTGGTAGTTCGCATGTGAGATGAAGACTTACTAATATATTGATACTATCATGTTGATGTTGCTGAAGCAAGTAAGGACTCAACAAATACACGAGATGAAGAAAAAAGAAAAGGAGTACGTAAAGTTGCAGGTAGTGTATCTCTATGCGCACGATTATTCAATGAAGGGACATCAGTTTTTTTCGCAGAATATTCACAATCTAATGTGGTTGTAAAGGTAATATCATAATGGTTATCAAAATGTGAATTTGTGAGTTTTTATTGCAGGAGAGGCTAAACCAAGTATTAATGGAGAAAAAGAAGGAATCTAGATCAGGCATGGAGATAATGAATTTGCTTCAGGTAAATTGCAGAACTGTGGTTTTATGATTGGAATAATTTCAAATCATGCATTCATTCTTATTAATGCATTTTTTTTTTCCATGATATGACCAATTTTTTATTGGTTTGTTATTTGTGCTTACAGAAAGAAGGGCGGCAGCGTGGAACATGGAATGGGAAGAAGGCTGACAATGATTTCTATAAGAAAATTGTATGCAGCATGATAATCTTTTGATATTTTATGCAGTTTTAGCAACTTGTTTAGTGTTTATAGCTGCAACTGATGCATGTTCATGCTATTATTAGGTGGATGCTTATGAGGCAAAAAATCAAGAACTAATGCAAGAGAATGCTGATTTAAAGGCATTATTACGCTCAATGCAGGTAATGTAGTGGTCTTTTTACTATCAGTTGGATTGCTAGTTTGTACGTGATTTTATAATTTTTATTCACACCACTTGTGGGTCTATTCTATCATTTTGCTTTCTATTATATTTTATACACGACCACTATTGTTTTAAGTTATGAAGAACATACAAACTATTAAATTATACCTTGTGAACAATGTTTAAAAAGGTTAAATCAGTATCCAATGCGTTTTTCCTAGTTGAGGTGAGGCGTAAGCCTCGAATAAAAAAGATAAGAATTCAAAAAACCACCAATTACCTATACTAATGTGAGACCACCAATTACCTATACTAATGTGAGAAAGGGAGAGCAGGGTTGTGAGTGTAAAGTCGGTTTATATTTTGAGCAGGGGATTGTATTGTAACTGAATAAGTCAGTTGTTGGTTAGAAAATAACTGATTACAGTGGGTTAGTGAGGGAATCAGAGGTATAGAAGGCGAGATTAGAGAATTAGTTAGTCATCAATGTTTAAAAAATCGTTTTGAGGTGTGTTCCTCGAGGCATGGCTCAAAATGAGGCAGCCTTGTGCCGCACGGAGGCTCACGCCTTAAGGTGAAAACGCCTTGTAGCTATTGAGGCGCAGGCCTCAATCAGAGAGCCCTTAGGGTCGTTTAACTACTCTTGGGCCTTTTATTAAGTAGTTATTTTTGGGTCTGCAATTAAGTTAGGTCTCAGCTAGTTTCAAGACTTTTGGGCCTTTTTTTAAGTTTTTTTGGGTTACCTTTGAAGTAATTAAAAATAATTTTGTAGGGGTGGAAACAAATTAAAGCCCTAGCTTGAGTTTGGGAGGAAGTACAATGACAGCTTCTAGGGCAAGTAAGGTAATGTGCCTTTTTTGTTGCTGAACAGTTGGAAAATATCGCTTGTTAAGGTGGGAGGGGAACAGTCGGTCTACTAGGGGATAGAGATTAAATCTTTGACGGACTGAGGGATGAGATCAAATGATTGAGAAGAGAGTGTGTTGTCTTTTGAACCATTGGGTTGTGCGGTTAATCTGGTAATTTGTTGAGGTGGATATCCAAGTGATATGTTTGAGTAGCTCCTCAAACTTCTGCTGGCTTTTTCATATGCTCATTTTTCTAGGGGTTTCCTAGAAAGTTCTTCAATAAAACTACAGACTTCTAATTTCAATCTTGAGTTTATTCTTCTGGTTCTATCATGTATTGATTATCAGTGTAGTTTTAGTTTATCACAAAGTGCATATATAATATCTCCCGTGGTCTTTCATTTCTTTCAAAATGTCACTGTTTGCAGTATAATCTACAAGAAAATGAACATGAAAATCTCTTTAAAATAACATGAGATTTACTAAACAAAAAGCCTTAAACCAACGTTTTGTTTAGTTTTTGTCGTTGTCTCGGATTTACACCACATTTCTATCTCTAGATTAAACCAACGTTTCTATCACTTTTCCCTCATGTTCATTTGGGTCTTGCGGCCCTAGCATAAACTTGGAGACGATACTGGAATAGGAGGCTATCACCTCATGACCAAGATTTATCCCTAAGTAGCCTTCCTGGCTGTCTTATCCAAGGTTTTATAAGGTCGAAACGGGAATTGAGGCGTTTTGTCTAATCGAGGTGAGGCGAAAGCCTCGAATGAAAAAAAAAAAAAAACATAAATATGGCTTAAGTAATAAAAAAAGGAACATAAACATCATAAACTTTCTTCCAAATCTTCTTCTTTAGTCAGCACAAGTTTCTTCCTGCCCCCTACATTAAGAAATACCAACATAATTTTCAATGAAATGTGAAAATTAAAACAATAAATTAATAACATAATAGATTAGTTAATAATTGCATAAATCACTAAAATTATTTGTCAATAAATTAAATTGCATAATTATTTAATTAATAATTACGTAGTTCGCTAGAGTTAATTGTCAACTTCTTTGATAATACTAATTACTCTTACCAAATTTATACTAGTAGTTTCTTACTCAATCAACATTTTCTGAAATTGGTTGATCCTAATCTACACATCTTTCTAGCTACTAGAGATTCTTAGGAGAAGTTAAGAAAGAAAGCATGATTTTCTACAAAGGATATATTTTATTGTTTTTTCCGAACTCTGATTACAACGGAGGGATGAAGTCCCTTATTTACACAAACACAACCAACCAATTTCAAGGACCCCCATAATCTAAGTTCGGAAAAACAATAAAAAATATCCTTTCTAAAAAATCATGCTTTCTTTCTAAACTTCTCCTGAGAATCTCTAGTAGCTAGAAAGCTGTGTAGATTAGGAGCAACCAATTTTCGAAAATGATCCATGAGTAAGAAACTTCTAGTATAAATTTGGTAAGATTGTGCTAGTATAGTAGGTATTAATGTCAAGGACCAAACAAATGCCCGTAACAGCTAGGAGGGCTACTTAGGGCCAAATTTTTGTCATGAGGTTATAGCCTCCTATTCCAGTATTGTCTCCAAGTTTATGCTAGTGCTCCTCCTGGTTTCTCTTTCTTGCTTTCTTAGGGAACTGGCGTTTGCTTTTCATTTTCTTGAGCTTTTGTCTTCTATTCTCTCACCATATGAAATACATATGCTTTTATGCTATCTTGTAAGTGCTCTGCAGTTGCATGTGCATAAGTCTAAATGGAGTATGCAGATAAGAGCATTCCCTCTCTTCCCAAACCCTTTAGACAACGAACCACTACGCAATAATGGCAGCAATTTACTAGCATAGTGTTTTACATAGAATTCTTGGTTTTTCTCGACCAAAGGTTTCTAAGTTTGAGTTATTGTTTTTCAGGTCGATATGCGTGATTTCATAAATGCTCCGAATGGGTTGTCTAAGCAGTCTCTGGCTGTCAATGAAGGAGTTGAGACAGATCTTGCACGGTCTCCATTTGGTGGGAAGACGGTAAGATAGCCTGATGAAAACGGTACCATTCTTCTTTCCCAGTGGTACAACTCCTATTTCTGACAAATATTTTATGATTTTATCCTTGCAGGATGTCTTTGACATGCCTTTTCACATGGCTAGAGATCAAATAGAAGAAAGTCTCCGAACTAAGATGGCTTCCATAAAGGTAGTTTGCTTTACGATTTACTACATTTTCCTCTTCTTCATTCTCTGATTGACACGGTTCTTATATGTGTTGTTTATTGTTAAAACTATTGAAGGAGCGCATGGTTCAGTTGCAAGATGCACAGAAAGGAGCAGAAGTTACTTCTGAAGCAACTGAGAGGGAGCTTGAGCTTGAAGCTCAGCTGGTTGAGGCAAGGAGCATTATCCAGGAGCAGGTCTTGTACTTTTACTGTTGTTTAAGTTATAAGTTAGATTAAATGCATTACTCTCCAAACAGTTGTATTTTTTTTTTCCCCTGGAAGGATTTAGTGTTGTAATTTTGTTATTAGAGCTGCGATTCCTCAACGTTCATATTTTCTTTTTCCTATTTTCAGTACTAATTTTTTGTCTTTATAATATACTCACAGTTGGTTTCATTACTACTTTTGGTTGCAGGCATCTATCATGTCTAAACATCTCGCTAAATCTGAGAGACCGAGGTGAATCTCCGTTATCTTGTGTATTTTAATGAAGTAGAAACACAAATACGTAATACGTATTCACGCAGGACTCTGAATGATCATTTTAAATCTAGCAGGGAAAGCATTGTCTCATCACCAGCTGAGGTATGAACGGATCTTTCTTGCTAACTCATTTTTGTTGGTTACGAGAGTGACGTGTGTTAACTTTGAAAAAAAAAAAAAAAAACAGTTTCTTAACCTATGATGAGCTTTAACAACTACATGCATTGGCATTACATTCATCAATTAATTCCCTCCTAGTCGTTGTTAATCCTTTAGTCAGTCAAGTCTGGATTCAAAGTGCTAATTAGAGACGGGGCAAATAAATTATGAGATAGCTCTTGGTTAAATACGACTCTGCTATAATCTTGCGTGTGTATTGAAAGTTGTGGTTATTGAAACGTGTGCAGATTTCAAGATAGCTGGGTGGTAGAGGCACTTACGTTCTTAGTATTTATTTTGTTTATTTGTTTATTTTTATATATTTGAAACGGTTATAGGGCACCTAGATAAATCCTGAGAGGCACAGCATCCTCGTGTGGCATATGGATGAGGTTGGACCGCGGTGGGGATGCTGTGCATCATACATATTATCTATATGCCACACTGGAATGCTGTGTCTCCTTGAGGTTATCTCGGTCTCCTACTATGCATGTCTGTGCAATTTTAAGAGGCTGGTTTCTTTTCATATGTTAAAATTCGTCATTCTTTTATGTAACTTGATTAAATGGAGACCCGTATACTAAAGTTGTACCTCTGAAAGCACCCCAAAGTTGTATCGCTCAAGAGACATTTAAACGACAGTTAAAAGAAATACAAGACCTTTTTCCTTCTTTTTTTTTTTTTTTTTTTTTTTTTTAATACACGTTTTTTTTTTTTTTTTTTTTTTTTTTTTTTTTTTTTTTTTTTTTCCAATAGAACACAGAAATATAATATAATTAGGCTGTTTAAGAAGCAAACTTAGATACAACTTTTTTTGCAGCTTGCTGTCTGATATGGTTCTTGATGTTCAGGGCGTATGCAATTAACAAGCCTGACGAAACAAAGACTGGCGAAATTGTTCGCGATTTGATGAGTTGAATATCGGCAAGTTTGTAAACCTCCGTACACATTTCTTAATTAGCCTATTTAAGAAGGCAATAGCATGTATTTTTTTTTTTTTTTTTGCTAGTAGTATTTTCAATGTAATTATCTTTCTTTCCTAATGAGTATGCTTCGATGCTTTTAGTGAACTTCCTTTTTTTGCTGAGATCAAATTTTGCATTCAATTATTCACATGTTCTCTATTGTCTTGCTTAAGCGACGTCTTCATGCTACTAACGCATGAATAATGTTAGAGGTAACAATTTTTTTACCGACTCTTGAATTGTCATTATCTTATTGGTAAGTATTTAAAAGATTGTTGTGTAAATAAATTGTATCTATCTATTAATAAAAGAATGGTAACTGAAGAGTTGGTAAAAAATTGGGATGAGCTTAAACGAATTCGATAGTCACCTTTATTTTATACCCGTTTTTTTTTTTTTTTTTAGGGGATTTTATACCGGTTCGTTTGTACATGTAGGGGTGTGTTTGGTTGCTTGTCGTATGGGATAAGGAGGGAATTGAATTAGCGAGTCCTAATTCTATGCTTGGTGCATGCTTTGGGATAAGATTGGAAATTCTTCACACCAGAAATAATCCGTAAGATAACTTATAAAATAAACCGACCCTTCAAGCTTGATCCAACGGTGTTACTGAATATGGAAGAGATGTTCTAATCCCTAAAGTTTTGACTTCCAACAAAGAGGAGAGTAGTTGATAGGAATACATACCATAAACGTTATTTATTTATTTTTATTTATTTTTTTAAGAGACAATGTTCCTTTTTTTCTTTTCATTTCTTTTTTTTTTGTTTTTTTCAAAATGTTATTATCAAAAGGTTAAAAAACACGTCCTAAGAAAAATAAAATAAAATCTCAGGATAATCAAATGGTATTGTTTTGAAGTGAGATACCTCAATGGAATTATGGGAATACATCAGGGGCATGTTTACTTTGGATTAAAGGAAAAGAAGAAAGTAAAAGTGATTTCTTTTTTCATCTAATAATGTGTTTACTTACAAAATTAATAATGAAGATCTAGTAGGCTCTAAACAATATAGAGAATGAGGAAAGGAAATACCAATATTTGCACTTTGCTTAGTGTTGATTGTTTATCAAAGGGAATAAATGCTAAATTTACTTATCTGTCTTAATGAATTATTATACAATCAATGATTATTTAATTATGTAACATGACATTTTAATGATTACATTTATAACATTGCTATTCCTACTTTTCGTAAATATAAGAAAGGAAACTGGATTCGTCATCTGTAGTGTCCTTAGTTCGTAGGTTTTAGGTGTTTTTGTTTTGCACTTTGTCTTATTTTGTGGTTATTCTCTGCTTTGCGGTTAGTTTGTTGGTTTTTATTTGTTGGGTTTGTTCACTAGTAAGACTAGTGTTTGTCTTGTTTTTCTTTTAATAGTCAAGTAAACACATAAAAAAAAAAAAAATAACTCTTAGTTTTATTATTTTACTTTTATTTCTAATTCTATTATCTTTTCCATTATTTCTTGTACGATTTAGTAAACACATCCCAAAAATAACACCTAAAAAAGAGGAGTCACTTCTGCGTAATTTTATGGAATTACTCAAGTACGATAAATATGCACGCGTGCGACACACTACATGCATACATATAAAGTATACATATGTATAAATTGTAGAAATTGCGAGTTGATACAAGAGGACATCCAATGGATATTTACATGAGAGATAACAAGTTACACACGCACAACATACATACATATTCATATACGTATAAACATGTATAATTGTAGAAATTGAAAGTTGATACAAGAGAACATCCAATGGATATTTACATGAGATATAACCAGTCACTTTTGCCTAATTTTACGGTAATATTGACGCCATTACATGGATATTAACTTTTCTTTTCCCTTTTTTTTTTTTAATTCTTTTCCTTCTTTCCTTCTATGGTTTTTCTTACCATATTTTTAGGTTAAGCTTCACTAATTATTGGGGAAGAACATACCTCTACACTCATACAATAGAAAAATAAATTGAAACAAAAATAACAGAAAAATAAAGCAGATAAAAATTTAAGTTGTTTGAAAAAATTTTCTACGTCCACAGAAGGAGAAAAAATCACTAACAGTTTTAAGAATTACACACTCAATAAACTTTCTCACTTTCTCTCTCTACCCAAAACCCCTTACACCCTTTGTCTATCTCGCTCCTCACTTTCTCTTACTCTTAAAAGGAAGCACTATTTCTCTGCACTTTTCTCTGAACACATTTTTCTTTGAGCACACATAAAACCTTACATAAAACACTTATTTATAGACTTCTAATAAACCATAAAATAACTTTTACCTAAAAACAAAAAACAGTAACTTACCCAAAAAACACAAAATAGTAACTTTTTCAAAACCAATTTGAGGCACTTTCTTAACATTCTCCACCTTAACTCAAATTCTCTCAACTCATTCAATTAGGTATCTAATCTTGACACCCGTCATCGCACTGACGATGCAAACTTCAACAATAATAAACATATGTCAAGCTCAAACTCTCATCAAACTTGACACGAAAAACTATCTTTTTCTTCTTCTTCTTCAAAGCATTTTGATTGCTATAACTCTTCACCATCTTGCCTTTATTGTCTTCACCTGTCATCAACATGTTATTGCACTCTTTTACTCTTGCAACTTCTTTCACAACATAAGAAGACTCTTCGTGGCATGGCTCCACCTACAACTGTAGTTCCAATCAGTTTATACAAGTTTTTCACCTTTTCACCCTTCATGGCAACTAAATCACCTCTCTTGACTTGCATAAAACCACCATTCGCATAGTACTCACAACCTAACGTGTTCAAAGTGTCCAAAGAAATTAAACTTCTCCTTAGTTGAGGAGCATGCCTAACATTTGTCAATGTCCTCACAACTCCATCAAGCATCTTCACCTTTACAGTACCTACTCCAACAACTTTAGCACTAGAAGCATTGGACTTCAACAAAGTACTAGCATCACAAGGCTTATAAGAATCAAACCACTCCTTATATAGACACATATAAAATGAACATCCATAATCTAAAATTCAAGACTCAGAAATATTTTCATTAGTAATAACATAATACACATCATCTTCACTGTCATACCTGTCGCTAACAACATTTGCAGAATCTGAAGTCTCTTGGATTTCTTGTTTTCTCTTTTCTTCAAGGTGTGTCGTCAATTCTTCCCAATTTATTCTAATATGCCCCTTCTTATGATAATAGTAGCACTCAATATCCTTTCTTGGATGGAATTGGGAATGATCACCTCTCTTATCATAACAGCTCCCTCGTGACTTGCTCATACCCCTATTCGAATCTGACTGTGCCACTAAAACTTGTTCATTATGAGACTTAACACTAAGTTTTCTCATATTTACAGTCTCTAACAAAGTAGTCGACACCATCCACAGTCAACGTCGTCTTTTCAACTAAAAATGTAGTTACCAAAGTCTCATATGATTTGGGTAGAGAGGCTAAAAAAAAATACCGCTTTATCTTGTTCATCAATTTTGACCTCTACACTTAATAATTGAGTTATGTACTTATTAAAATTATTTATATGGTCCTAATATCACTTTCCTCATCCATCTTCAACTTATACAATAGCTTCTTCAAATAAAGTCTATTTGTTAGGGATTTCGACATATAAACTTTTTCTAATTTTTTTCATGACTCATAAGGAGATGTCTAATTCATAACACTGTATTTCAGTTCAGGAGTCAAACTTAAACGAATAGTGCTTACCGCTCTTGCATCTAATTCTTCTCAATATTCATATTTCATCTTTTTTGGCTTCTCTCCTTGTAGCGCTTTCAGTAATCCCTATAGAATCAAAATATCTTTCACCGTACTCTGTTAGATGTTGAAATTACTCTTTCCATCAAACCGCTCAATCTTTATCTCAGACATCATCTTGAACCTTTTTTTTTAATCTCCACCACAATTCTGATATCAGTTATTAAGGAAGAACACACCCGTACACAGACGCAGTAGAAAAATAAACTGAAATAAAAATAACAGCAAAATAGAGAAGACAAAGATTTAGGTGGTTCGGAAAAATTTCCTACGTCCACGAAAGAAGGAGAATAATTCACTAACAGTTTTAAGAATTACATACTCAATAAACTTTATCACTTTCTCTCTTTACCCAAAACCCCTTACACCTTTTGTCTATGTCGCTCCTCACTTTCTCTTGCTCTTAAAAGGAGACACTCTTTTTCTGCACTTTTCTCTGAGCGCACTTTTCTTTAAGCACACATAAAACCTTACACAAAGCACTTATTTATAAACTCTTAATAAACTATAAAATAATTATTGCCCAAAAATAAAAGACAGTAACTTAAATAATACAAAATAATAACTTTTTCAAAACTAATTTGAGGCACTTTTTTAACACTAATCACACTTTGCACTTCCTTGACCTCCCTAATCTCTGCTAACACTTTGTTATTTTCTCTTTGAGTTCTACTTGTCTTGAGAATAACGCGGTTCCAGGTTTTAACTGAGGTATTCTGACTCAAGAGAGAAAATGGAAGAAAAGAAGTAAAGAACTAATAGAGACTAGAGAGGGAGAGGAAGGAGAGAACGAGAACTCAAAAGTTCACTCATCAACCAAGTTTGAAGTGAAAATGCAATCACCAATAATAATAAGATATCCATATCCACACCTAAATACTAGGGGTATGTTTGTTTCACAAAAGAAGAACTTGAAAGTTGTGTATGTGAGAGAAAAATACTTGTTGCAAAAAAATAAATTAGAATTCGTGTGAAAAAATACTGTAACAATAAAATTTGAGTTGTGAAAAGAACAAGCCTTTAAGCTGCCCACCATTTCTTTGCTTCATCCCTTTTTTTCTTAACTTTTTTAGCTTTTTTTTCTGTTCTTTTCTTTTTTAGTTTTTTTTTAGTTTTTCTTTTTTTTTTCTTTTTTGTCCTCCCTTATATTTTTTTATTACATCTTTTAACCTTTAATTTTCATATATTTTTAAATATATCTCATTTAAATACTTTTTTTACAGTAATTTAATATATATTTTTTTTTCTAAACACCCTACTAAATAAATTTATTCTTAAATGTGTCTACATAAACATTTTTTTGTCTGTGATCCTCATAAATTTAAGCTTCAATTGCGAAACAT